TAGGGGGTAGACCTTGAAGGAAGCTGCCTCGAGTTTTACCCGCTGTCCTTCCATTGGCGACGAGGTGTTTTGGTGGTACCACCTCGCCTGCTGCTGACGCAGCTGGTAGGATGCGAGCAGACGACGTGCTATGTGAAAGCACGTAGTGGCTATGTTAGTTTGCAACTATGCCGTTCAAAACCGGTTTATTTATTAAAGAAACGCACCAAACGTTTTTATGAATGATATTTTGAATGAATAACAAACAGCACCTCGAAGTTGCTTTTTGAATTAGAAAAAAATCTTTAAAATGTTCACAAACAAGACTGGAGCCTCACATTTCAGCTTGCGCGGCGTGCGTCAGAGCTATTCACAGTTTCTTTGACTTGTTTTTTTTTTCTGATCTGTGGAGGCTGCTGCATAGAAGAGGGGTTTGCATTCACCACAGTAAATAACGTGCTGTCTTCTTATTTGTGCACGCGCACACAGTTGCGTTTTAAAGCGCTTCACACTTGTTTTAGCTACATTGAGCTTGCCGATATCAAGGCTTGTATCCAAGTGTGACTCAACATCTGCTGCCGAGCAAAAGCTCGTCAGCAACTGACGCTTAACTCCTGCCGAATCGAATACGCGGCAAAAAAAAGTTTGCACATTGCGACGTCTGCTCGAAAGAAAAGCTGAAATTTTCATAAATTCTTGAACTGTTGGCCATGGCCCGGCAAATTCAGGCGATTGATTAATTTGTTCTATCCTGTTTTTACTAAGAATTGTTTACAAATTTAAAGTCGCTCGCTGGGGAGCGCATCACGCATTATGAGCATTTGGGTCCGCAAAAATTAAACTTATAAAGGGTAGCAATTTGTAGCAGGTGCATTCCTCAGTTTCTAGGACGCTGAAGTGTCACCGACCTACTAGATTACTTCGATCGCGACAGGGGTCTCCCACGTTTCGGGTCGGCCGGATGAATAAGCAGGGATTTAGTCGAAGCCGCTCCGGGAGCCAGCCTCCGTTTCTTCCTGCCAATTATTTTGTGGAAATGTTCTCTTAATAGTTTACAAAAAAAAGGGGGGGGGGGGGGGGGGACAGGTATAAATTCGAAACTAATAAGAGACCAGTACTCACAGAACACATTAAAACCAACGTGTTCTCTCTCTCTCTCTATATATATATATGTGTATATCTATATATATATATCTATATATATATATATATATATATATATATATATACGCGAGAGATTCTCGCATTTCGCTTTCCTACTTTCAATTTGATGAGACCTTCCTTTCTTAGTTATATTTTGTCCGACTCACCGACTCATAATAAAAAAATACACCCTTTGCGCCGTGGTAGACGTTGTAGTGAGATAAAGCGCTTGATAATCTACTTTCATCATTCAGCCATTTTGTACGGAGTAGAGAACAGAATAACACCATCCGAGCGCTTCGACACCTCAGTGCCAAAAATGTTTGTTAGCACGACTACGCGTGCCACGGTTTTAAGCTTTGGCAAAATGCCCTACTATACAAATATCTGTTCACCAAATAAACACAACGCATGAAACAGGCTTTGCCGCGCGTTACCCGAACTGCGCATGAAGCGAGCTGACGAGCCGAGGGATCCGAGATCTGCGCGTTCTGTCCCAGTCTGTCCTACCCGTGACGTCACAAACGATGATGATGATAGCTCGAGAAGCGCCCCCCTGTAGTTCGCACGCGCCGCCAATAGGGAGTTTTCGTAGACCGCGTTTCCCCCTCCGCTAAGCCTCCCGGAACGAAGAAGTCGCTACTGTGCCTGCGTGCTGGCCTTAGCTGTACGATTTCGGGTATCGTAGCGAGTTGCGGAGAACGTTGCGGGACGGCGAAAATGACCCACGAAAACTCCCTAATCAGAGCCAGTTAGAGCTCGGTGTTGAGACGTCACCACATCCCCTGGAAAAGAAGCAGACGAACTTGCACTCGGCATAGCCAGTGTCAATTTAAGAAACGCAGGGCGTGTCGTGTCGCCAGCATCTTATTTTCTCTCCGCAAGCGGTATGATTGCGCCTGCAGATAAGTACTTCGAAGAAAGAATAAAAAAAAAAGTACACGTGAGCGTATTTTACATTCTGCGTTTCTCACGTTCTCAATGACTAAAGCAAAGATTGGAGACAGTGGCTATATTGTTCAATCATATAAAAAAATTAGCGCGTACAATTACGTCATTGCACATCGCAACGTCTATTCACCGAGGAATTTGTTCAAGGAAAAACAGGAAGGTGCGCGGATCCTCGCAAGCACGCGTGCCTCCTCTTTTTCCCGCGTATACTTTTCTGGCATATACAAAACTGTTCAACGCTAAAACGACGGGTATAGTTTAGCGTCCTGTTCCGCCCATGCATCCAAAGTGGTCATGAAGTCGCAAACAATTACCTCACAAAAGTCGGAGTGTCACGATGTCGGATGTCGTGATCCTGGCGGTTGGGCGTATGCGGAGAGAAAGTCGTCTGCTTCGTGAACAGGAGTTGCGGTGACGTCAGGACGACGCCGAGCTCCGATTGGCTTTAATTGAAAGGAGAGTGATTAGACCTCAAATAATAGACGCCTTGAGGTCTACCCACTATTTTTTTTTTCTTTTAAATCAGACAATAAGAGTTCGACGTTCTGACAGCATCGCAACCCCTGCAAAGAAGCAGACGAACTTACGCACCGCTTAAAAAATCACGACAAAAAAAAAAAAAAAGCAAGAGTTGCTGTTGTCGTGGCGTCCCAACTCCTGGCTGCCGAAGCTACTGTATCCTGTCAAGCTGGAGAGCGACCCGCAGCAGAACAGGCGTCCGCCGCTTCCATTACCGCTACTGTGACGCCACCAGGATCGCGGCCGGCGACAGCGTGACGCTTCTATGACGTCATCGGGCAGAAATTGCGGGACAACTTTTTAGTACGCGATAAATTGTGCTGCATGCGTAATTTTTTTTTTTTTTTAATTTGTGGATGTTTATTGTTTGTAACAAAAGGAGCTGATGAGGCTTCGGTGGTTAACGTTGTCGATTTTTTGTTGAATGTTTTTAAGCGTCACCCTGGGGGATAGAAGTTCTACATATGGAACGCCAGAATGGCATGCTTTAGCAGTTCCTCGACCTGATGCTGAAGTTCACTAAGAATCACGTTTATGAGGCCTATCATATACCCCCATAGGGCCCTTTGCCGTATGATTTATCTGATTCCAAGCTGGTCAAGATCCAGGGCATTGCGTCATCATGCCTGCAAGCAGCCCTAGAAAAGTCTCGTCACCATGCATCGCTTCAAGAGAGCTTTGGGTGGCAGGTAGAGTGGCTTGGCACGGCGGGATACCCAGTGTAAGTTTTTGCTCTCTGTGGGCGAAAAGCTACTTGGAAATATTAAGATAGGACACCAACAACGTAGGGAGTGAGCAAACAAGAGACCCCTGGTAATGTACCTCATTTACTTACGTTTTCTCGTAATACGGAAAAGATAGCGGGGTAGTACGACGTGCCGGTCGTCCTCTCGGCGCCTTGCAAGAATGTCGCAACTATGCTCCAGGGTTGCTGATAGGGGGGAGAAAATAAACAAATGTACAATCAACCACAGAACAAGGGTATACGTTGAGTGCAAGGTAGGGGGGGGGGGGGGGCTGTATCTAATGCTGTCTAGTTGTGGTCGAGCAATGCATACATCGGACAAACGGCCGGGACGTTGTGTCAACGACCGAGCGCGCGAGCACGCGTTGTCGCTGAGAGCTACTGTGGGAGGGCGCCTTTTTTTTTTTTATTGTGTGACTGCCATGTGTAAGTCAAGCTCTAACTGCAATATGATTCTGAAAAACAAAAAAAAGATTAATAAAATTGCGAGGGAACTGCTGGAAGCGTTTGAGACTGGAGAGGAAGGCGCAACATGCGATAGTTAAACTTCGGTTGCTTTGTATGAGAATGAGGTAACCTTTTTGAAGCACTTGTCGACGCGATAGTTAGTTTGATGGTTTGATGCTTTTTTTTTCTTTTATTAAATAATCAGTTGATCTGTAGCGTTTATCCCGTCAATACCTTCATCGTCTATGTTATTTGTGCCTGTTTCCAGCTGTGTATCATGGACCAACTCGCCTGCATCGTCACTTTAAATATGCCAATCGGAGGCGCATGCCAGGCGCTATAATGAAACGCGTACTAAAAGCTAAAAGCGGCTGAAAGACGTGATTCCCGACGACTACGCACTCGTGTTTGTGCAGATAGGCTTTAACACATCTTTGCGCCGGGAAATCGTAGCTTGCACTTCAGGTTTATTGGACTCGCTTTTGCCACGAAATATACACCCGCTACCGTTGCAAGCGCTCACAAATTACAACAGAAGTCAAGAGCTCTGCTTTAAGATATCGGGAGCGTTTACTTTCCAGCAAAGAACGTGGAGGAGTCATTCGCTGCAGTTTATAGAAGGAGCTGGGCGAATGGCGGTGCTAAAATTTGTCTAGATAAAAAAAAAAAGAACAAAACAATCAGTTTATGTTGTGAGATTAAGCATTATGCCGCAGAATGTAGCGATAGGTTCTCTCAAATACTCTGCGGAAAAGTGGACGCTCCAGATTTCTAAGCGTAGAGATTATCATGACCTTATAGGCGCTTTAAAATTTCGCAAACATTGATGTTGCGGAAAATAAACAACAACGTTTAATTTCCTGATACGATTGTTTTCTCTTTATTCTTATTATTTAGTTCCGCCTGCATTTCTTTAGTTACTTTCACACGTAGCTTACGCCATGGAGAGCAGGAAACAACAAGTCCGCGTGTACGACTGTTGACCTTTCGCCGAAGAGTCTTTCTTACGTTTCTTTAGCGCGCGCACAACAGCCACGACAACGTTATTCTTTTTCGTAATTACACGTAACAGCTTATACTGGACGTATAACCTTTAAGGGATCATCTGCGCTTTAACATTAGAAAGGACATTTATGTGTATCTTTGTATTTTTTGTTATAGATATAAGTCTGTTCGTTCGCTTCAACATTGCTCGAGCTTACACCTCGCAGAAAAGATGATCGCGTTGCTTTGTGTGGTTGCGACTGCTCTCGCCTGTTGCGGTTCGCATGTCGAAGCAGGACCTACAGGTCAAACATATTCGTTGCTTTCCAGGCAAGACGAACCTGTTGATATGGCTAAACCAAAGAACAATTCAGGGAAAGTAAGTGCTTTGTTTTGTTGAAGTCTGTATAATTAGATAACGCGTGATAAAATCCGAGGAAACATTTAAAGGTTCCGATCGCAGAAGATAGGCGAACTTAACCGATGTAAAGAATATTTCTATGATTCTTCGAGGCAGCGGTTAACGTTTACGCAAGGTGTCGGGGAATCTGTTCGATAAGTTTATTTTTATTCATATATTTATTTCTATCTTTATATATACCTCGAGTACCCGTCTTTGAGCATTGAGTATAAACAGCGTGTATGCGATTTGGTGAGCGACGAGACAAGCAACGGCGACGCGCTTCGCTGTCGCTCGGTCAGTCGCGCGACTTGGCAAGCCGCATGAAAGCGACGGGAGCAAGCGACCAAGGCGATGACCGATGTTTTCTACAAATGCAAAAACCAAGAGACACGATGAACGACAGTGAGAAATCTCCGTCGCTCGTCACTGACTCTCGTCGCTGTCGCCGTCGCTTGTCTCGTCGCTCGCTAAATCGCTTGCATGCGGTCCAGCCTTTATACACAAGAGAAGTCTAAATACAGTTCCAAGAATTCCGTTGAAACATAACAGAAATAGCTAAAACAAAGCACGTGCAGGCACAGAATTGAGAAAAAATAACAAAATTACCGTTCTTATTACAACTCCTACCTTTATTTACATTGCATTATTCCAATTATGATGACGGCGACCGAGCACGAAACCTGCCGTGCAGTCTACGCATGGCCAGCCACGTATACTCCGATTCACATTAGGCCCCAGCGCAGCTCCAACGCCACGAATCAACCAATCAAGCAGTGCCAAAACTGCGTCGTCATGGCGCTCATCGCCTTTGGGGAATTGTAGGGAACCGTTTTCGCCCATACGATACGGTACGATGGGCCCTCCGGTACGAACTGCGCATGCGCAGAAGACTCGCGCATGCGCAGTTCGTACTGAAGAGTCCATCGTATACCGTAGGGGGTGTGCCCAAGAACGTTTCCCTAAAACTTTCTTTTGTGCGTTCGCTATCAACGTTAAACCACTCACGCACGCGTTGTGATCCTGTTTATTTTTTTTTTCTGTGTGCGTGATTGGTTTAATTGCGGTGATAGGAATCGCACAGCGACGACAATCGCGCCACGACGATTCTTTATTTTGTTTTGCGCTGTTTGGTTCATTGGCTTTATATTAGATCGTAAATCGTAGCGTTGAGTGCGCTTGGACTTGATCTGGAATGGAATATAGCTTCAGCCTTCCGAGCATTATACAGCCAGGTAAGATGGCCCATCGAGAACAACCTCAGCTGTGGACGCGTTCGCGGAGCAGGAAAACGCAATCCCTCGGAAAACGTCGTGGAGGTCGTTTGAGAGAAGGCGTCGACAAGAACTACGTCTGTATCCTCTTGTGCTCTCCACTGGCGTAATTACCCAGAACTAACTGTGAAGACTGCGACAGTGGTCAACGGACTAAAGGTTTTATTGCCCTTTTGGGGTCATATATCTAGTGCTCCCTTACAAAATTGATCAATGAGTTTCAATTGACTTTCTACTTACTGTGTTCCTATAGAGTCAATCGAAACTCAATATGAACTCAATGTCTAAGGAGTTTGATCATTAGAAACTCAATTTTGATCCTGTTGAATTTACTCATTAGGAATGCCATTGAGACTGATCATAAGAAACTCAATATCGATTCTATTGACTTTATCCACTAAGAATGCAATTGAGTTTGATCATTAGAAACTCAATATCAATTCTAATGATTTTACTCATTAGGGATGCCATAGAGTTTTATCATAAGAAAGTCAATATCGATTGTATTGAATTTACTCGTTAGGAATGCAATTGAGTTTGGCCATTAAGAACTCAATATCGATTCAATTGAATTTACTCATTAGGAAGGCAATTGAGTTTCGTCATAAGAAACTCAATATTGATTCTATAAAATGTACTCATTAGGAATGCAATTGAGTTTGGTCGTTTGTGGATTACTGCACCCGTGTGCACGGAACGATTATTGCTTGTACCAATGTTTTTCTATTAAGGGATAGAGTCCAATGACGTCGAAACACTGTTTATCATTTATGAGACTTCCAAGGAGGAAATAGCAAACTGGGAACCTTAGTAGATGCTGAGGTGGTCACCGGCCAAATGAATACCTTTCTTATGTGGGGTATATAAGGCGATGGGGTAGTCAAGGGGAGTACGATTAGTGGGTTGTGATTGCTTAGTTACAATGTTTGTGTTCGTTTCCTCTATGTGCTTTGTTTCCTTCGTGTTGCATGCTTTAAAGAATTATGAAAAATTCTCAACCAGAGCAATTTTTTTAAACGCAGTTGCTATAAATTCTATTGAAGCACGTTGCAAAAATTCAATTGAAAGTCAATTGAAATATTTTTATTAAAACTCAATAGCAAAAGTTCTATTGAAACACTATTGCCAAAATTCCATTGAAATGCAATTGCTGAAAATTCAATTAAGACTCAGTGGCCAATACCCTGGGACGGATCAATAGCGACTCAATAGAAAAAGTCAATTAAGTTTCATATGAGACTGAGCGCGGTCTATTGAGTGAGTCCTTTACACTTTCAATTGAAAGTCAATTTATTTTTTTGTAAGGGCTTCGGCGGCAAGAAAAAAAAAATGCGCGAAACGTTTGGCTCAAGGAACTCCTTTCTTGGCTTGATTGGACTGAACAAAGCATCGATGCTGAGCAGTGTACTTTACCTCCCACATCGAATGACAACATTATTTTTAGAGCGCAGCTTTTAGGCGCCCGTTTCCAGCTTTAGCGGCGTCGCCGTCGGCGTAACCGCGCGGTGCATTATGGGACGCGTGACGTCACTGGTGACGTCATCGGCATCGGCATCGTCACTGATGACGTCATCAGTGACGTCACTGCTCTCTACTTCGGCGTTAGAGAGAGTTGTAAACGGCTTTCATTTTTTTTTTTTTTTTTATCGGACGACAGGAGGTGTAAATATATCTGCCGGTAGAATCTGAAGAGTTCGCTGTCCAAAAGCCAACGGCCATTCCCTCTCTGCGAAGGCCAGATATTTTCTCGTTCAACGTTTAGTTTTGGAAACCGATCGTCCGTCAACCTACGGCGTGATGAAAGCGTAGCTGAAAGGAAAGGATGCACCCTCTTAAATGACACCAAAGATAATACCCTCCCGTGCAAACGAGAAGTAGTTATTTTCGCAAAGAAAAATAATTAAACATTAATTACTGGTAAGGATCTGCCTTCGTACGCCGGCGATCGACATTTTGAAAATTGCAGAATGATGACGCAGAGCTAGGGGACAGATGCTGAATGAACTTTCACATTTCTACGTGTGTTTCCTCCCTCCCCCCCCCCCCCCCCCCCCCCTTCCCCCGCTCCTTTTTTTTTCTTTTTTTTTTTTTTGCGGATGTTAGAGATGAACGGCCTCTGCCTTTGCGAAATGAATCGTGCACTTGAATATGATCCTAGTTCTGAGCCTCCGCTCTTGAATGATCTGTGCACTTTTGGCCAGCGCCTCGGTAGACGGCATCTGCAACACTTACGCTCGGTCGGCATCCCGTGCCATGACCACGGTGTAACTGTGAAGCTCTTTCTACAGTCAATGGCAGGAGGAGGACGGAAGGGAGGTCTTTCAGTTATTCCGCCTCCAATGCGGGCTTCCTACCTTCGATAATGCTTAGGCGTCTCGTGAGCCTCGAGCGTGCGCCTGCATCCGAAGCACGACGGAAAGCAACGAGCCCTTGCTGAAGGTCGTGTTTCATAAGCCGTTAGAATGTATTTGAATCATTAAAACTATAAATCCCATCATCCGAATTTTTTTTTTTTTTTTTTCAGTTAACGAGTTTTTAGTTCCGCTGAGCTGACCGAAGGCTTGTTCCGCTATTTGCGTTTTAGCACGACCGACTTTGTTTCGACCGCAATTGACTGCTCATGACGAGGTGGCTGCTACGGCAACGGCGAGGTCTGCGCAACGCGTCTTAGTGCATGGACCGTAAGGAGCGGTAACGCGGTCGGTCGCTCTGTTCTTAAGCCTAAATAGCTGAACCTGCCTTGAGAGTTTGAATATCGGCGCTTAAGTGTAAATATATATATTTTTTTAAGTTTGCTTTTATAATCTCATTGTTTCATTGCAGCTGTGGCTTAAACACGAGAAGTTTTATCTCCTGTATCGTTCTGAAAAAAATGATACTGAATTTGGAGGAGAAGCAAAATGTGTTCAAATGAAAGCCTTAAGATTTGAGCTACCGAGGAAGGAGTACCAGTGGAACACACCCGTTAAGGAACTGAAGGTCTGGAGTAGCGTTGGTTACCGAAATAACCGAACAGGTCAAATGTACGTATTCGTTTTTTTGTATCAGGTCTTAGAACAGATCTGTAGCGGTCGAAAGAAACTAAAACCTGGCGGCGCTTTCGTTTTGTGACACACAGATTTCACATTCCATCCATTTCGAAGTTCATGAATTTTCGTATGAATCTTCGATTTTCCTTCTGAGGATTTTATATAATCATAATGACGCAAAATATCAATAAATGAAGATTAAAATATAAATGATTCATTTATGAAAGATGTCCTTGATAAGTTTTTACGAAACCTTTCATAGATTGACCTTCGCACCACTAAAATAAAACGTAATAAAAAAAAAATCCCGCTTTTATTGACCTTTATCCTACATTTACTTCATTTATTCTCTCCCAGTCAAAGTAATGATTGAGTACTTTGAAGTAAAAGCTAGGTTTACAACATTAAGTTAGACCCGTTCGTGTTCCCTTTCCTGTTTTCTGGTAAGGCGCCGTTCAAAGTCTGCTACTTGTAAAGGTTTCAACCTATTTGTTAATATAAAATCCAGAGTATTCGCTCAGCTAGGAGAAATATTGCAAAACGTTCAATTATTTGAAGATTACCTCAGAAAGGTCATTTAATCAATTTTCGACCTTCGGAAACGGGTGAAAACAAAACTCATGAAGTAGAAGAAAGAAAACGTTGCTTTGAATTTAGTCAGCGCTGCGAGGTGAATAGCAGACTGCTCATCCAGTAACGGCAGTAAGTACGTCAGGAATTATTATGACGTCGCCTCCATAGATACGAACACGACTTGTAAAATGGTGTGTTATGTATTTTTAAGCAGGGTTCCACATATAAGATTTGTTTGCATACTTCCAGGGAAGTATTTACTGTCATGATCACCACGAAGAAATCGAACGAAAGCCTAAAATACGATGACATGTTTTCAATCGGAGAGGAGACTTATACACGTAAGCACATGTTGCGAACAACGAGCTCCCGTGTAAAGATGAAAGAACAAGCGTTATTCGCTAGCTAGTTATATAAGATGTTATTTTTTTAAGCTTAACAGGTTGTTTAAAAAAAACAAAAACCGTAAAAGCTACACTGATTCAACTTGTACGAGTAAGTTTTTTTTTTCTTTTTTCTTTTTTTAAGTAGACCGTACTCTGAGCTACGCTTTGCTAGCGGGGAGCTCGTGCCGTCACTTTGAAGCATGGATTGAGTACGCACCCGCTGAGCCCGCTCTCTGCAGCGTACGATCTGCTAAAACTCTTACATAGGGGGCTAATCGTAACGATCAGTCGGCTAGTTTCGTAAAATGTGGTAATTGACTTTTTAATCAGTGAAAATAGACATATGGTTTCAATGAGAAACATGCCGAGCATCGTCGAAAACCACTAGATCAGTAATTTATATAGAGACTTTGAGCGCATGAGAAGTGCAGTAGAGCGCTAAGGATACCACATGTGCAGCAAAAGCAAGGCTACCGGTGCGATAAGGCGCCCGCGCGATTTTTCCGTCTCTTATCATAGCCTCCAGCCTTGTAACTGTTGCACCAATGGCACCTTTGGCTACTACGCTTCTCACCCATCCAAAGTATTTCTAGAAATGATTAGAAATGATTGATCTAGAGGCTTTCGATGACGCTCGGCAAGTTTCTAATTAGAACCATATGTCTATTCTCAGAAATAAAAAAAAAAGTTAGGTAATTATTTGACTTACCGTCACGATCAGCCCCCTATATTGTGTGATCCCTTGGCCGTATAACTCACCTTCACCAACCGCATTAGTTTAGCTTTCGCGAATTTTATCAACACATTTTTTTTCCAACAAATTTCAACACCCTGCGTAAAACAATTGTACTGCGGACTGACAAAGCCTTTTCTTGATCGGGATCGAAACTGCATGCGATAGAAAGAGAAGTGAAAATACGTGTATATTCGTTATAAAGGGTAGAACTCATACCTTTCTAAAAAAAAAAAACAAAAAAACACAGACACAAAAATTAAAATTAAAGAAATTAATAGCCTGTAGTAAATCAAATCGATGTTACGCAATAAAAATGCCGTAACTAACGAATGAAGGCAAGTCTGCCCTTGTTTTTTCATGCGCGAAAAGATAACTTTTATGTTGGGTTGGCTAGGACAAAATACTAAACGAAGTAACTTGACATATTGCTGTTCAACTTAATACCTGACTTCTTCCAATTTAAATCATTTTAACAACTTATTTCAGATTATCTATATAAAGATTATGAGCTGCTTTTTACTGACTATAAAACGTGTTTCACCATATGGAGGCCTAGTGATGATGGTAAGCATAAATTCTCTTTTTAATATTTTTTTTAATTTTTTCATAAGTTAATTCTTTTAGTAGTTTTATTTTACAATTCTCACACATATATTATTAGTTGAGTGTTTTATTTTTTTTTGTCGTCTCGCTTGAATGAAAAGTGCCGAATAAATTTTAAATGCAATACGTAGAATTGAACGACGAACAAAAACCGACTGTTTGACGTACCTATCAGAATGTGGACGCTCTGTTGTTACTTGTTGTCGAGCATGACGTTGGACAGCCTGATTGAATGTTACATAATTCGACACGATACCCTAGTTCGTATCGAATCCCTAATTTATTTGCTGCAACTAGGTGTGCCTAGATTTGAGAGTGTTTCAAACTGCTAGACGGTAATCTTGTAAAGCATAGGCCGCATTTGCAATACCAGGTGCGAGGAGGTGACGAGATCATTGTTCATCGACAAGCATCTTTGCCTTTTCGCCCGCTGTCCATTTCTCGACGCGACAAAGCACGCATGCGCACATGTGACTAACTTGCGCGGGAAGCGTCCGTGATTAAACTGCAAGCACTCTCCATACCTTGACTTGCTGCCTCTTTTAAACTTAGGCTCTCCGGTTTGCCATCGCCCTTGGTAAAAAAGCGATACAGTAAAATTATACTTTGCAGTCTAAAAATATACATTTAATAGGAGAGCATACTGAAAGTTAACTCTAAGTAAACAGAGAGTGTGCAGAAAGTGTACTTGTGGGCAGTACCGAAATTACTTTGCAAATACAAAACTAGTGCATGTATTTCGGCATACTTGATCCGTATCAAATCTGTACTATAAATTCACAAAAAATGAACTATACTAGATATATTAATTTTACCGTAAGTTTATTTAAACTGTACGTAATATGTAACAAGAAGCTTCAGTAAGCTACTTTACAATTAATACAATACATATTGCGTCAAAAAGAAAATGCAAATCCTGTATTGGTGTTTTTTCTTTTGTTGAGCGGAAAAAAAGAATAGCTGGGCGAGGTGTGGGACGTCCCTAAGTATATCGAAAGTACTTAAGTGATTTTAGTCTTTTTTTGTAAAAAATGCAGTAGCGAAATATCACTTATTTAGCATAAACCATTATTTACTCAACATGCCCGTCTAGCATTTTGTTAGGACACCTGAAACTGGTTGAAGACACTTCACCCAGTGTATCAATATCCACCCATGGTCTCCGGTGTTATAATATAATGGTAATCCCATACACGTTTGCAAGTACGGCCTCAGGACTCCGCCATCTTGCACAATGGGGTGCGCTTGGGCGTGTCTTAATTCGATTAGAAATCATGGTGTAAGGTGCAAAAAACAACGGACACAAGAGAGAAATCAGACATACAAGCGCCGTAATCGGCGCCCTGAGGGCGTATACTGGCAAGCAGGGTGTCGAACCGGAACCGAACCGAACCGAAAACCGGAACAAAACCGTTATTTTAGCCGAACCGGAACTGAACCGAACCGAAATCTTCGCAGCCATCTTGGAACTGAACCGGAACCGAACCGAAAAAAAATTTCGGTTCGACACTCTGCTTGCAAGCGTGTATTCACCAGGTCGCCTGCACCATCACTGCATTACCTAGCGGCCTTTGGGGAAAAAATGCGCGCTCATGGCCTTCCGTTAAAGACAGCGATGGGGATATTACATCACTGAGACGATTGAAGGTTGGTGACTTAACAACATTGTCGCAGATTTTGTAAACGAAAACAGAAGGCAAAATGCACCGTGATTTAAATAAGTACTATACAGGTTTTTCGTGTTCCTGTATGATTAACATTAAAGACAGGATTCAAACACTCTTTTAGTGTGAAGTAAACTGTACACATGAACGGTGGGTCGCGCGTAATCGCACTTTCAAACGCTGTACCGGGCCTTCTTCACACAAAGATGACACCAAGCGGAGGAAGTTCGAAGTGCGATTGGCATCCGGATGATCAGCTGCGCTACCCCTCTCTTGCCTCTCCGCGACTCAAATTGATGAGTCACGGAGGAGAAAAGAGAAATACCGCGACTCCCCTTCCGGACGCCAACCCCACCTCGAGCTTTCGCCGCTGCACGAGGACTTGCGTTATACGCAGAACTCTTGAAAAGAAAAGTCCATAACTTGCTGTCGGCAACGGATAAAAAAAAAAAAGTGGGTTTACGTTAAGACTAAGATCACTGAGGCTTTCTTGTCGATATTGTCGACACCTCTAAACATTAGCTGTTCTTTTTTTTTTTTTTTTTTACCAATGATTGTGTGATTTGTTTACTGGTGCCCCCGGCACGCGTACTAAAGCTTTCTTTGGCAGTTTCCAGGCGGTTGTCTCCGTGTTAAGACCGAATTTAATTAATCTTGCTGCCTTTGAATGTAGCGACTTGTGATTTACTTTATAGGGAAGAGCTGACAGGGTGGAGTATAGAATCGTCGACCTCGGGCCTTTAAAGTACAGAACGCGACACTGTTAACGCGAACAATCGCGATTGCCATTTTATGCAGAATGTGTTCTATGGGTCATTTTCTATGAGATAACCGTCATGAAGGAGTGACACGATGGAAGGATTTTACAATCCAGTTTCCCTGCTAAATTTAGCAAGGAAATTTTGACGTCGCGACGACGTCCAACGTAAACTAAACGCCAGTTTCCCCCCCAAATTTAGCTGGAGAAATCAACGTCACGTGACCAATAAAATAATCATGCTTCTTCGCTATGCTGAACGAAAAAAAAATAAAAATAAGAATAATATTTTTAGAGGGGGAAAAATAATGAAGCTGTGGTTTGTGCGGGACACATTCTGTGGTCCCCGCAGTCTTCGTCAACATGTACGAACCTCTGTCATTTTTTTTTGTCTCTTATAAATGAAAGATTTTTATAAAGACGCACTGGTGTGGTTCAAAGTGTTCGTCGAAGGCACTGACCTAAGCGGTAAAATTTGACGCCCGCCATTTGACGTAAAAATGCCGAAGAGCGAAGCCGTCATATTCGTTCTATTAGTATCGCACAGAGTGCATCATGCGGTAGCGATTATTACCTAGATGCGCACCGATGCATAGGCCGTCCATATCGGAATTTACGGGACAGGGATTGGAAGTTCCAACCCTGCAGCGCGATGTTTCCCAAGATGTGCTTACAGAGCTGCGGTACTTTAACACACACGGCCGCCACCACGAGGGGCATTAGGTTAAGGAGGTGCGTTACCGTCGCTGGGACTTGGGAACACCCTGAGACTTAGTTAACGCACTTTCGACTTTGGTGGCGGGAGAGTAATTCCGCATACAGTCTAGCTTTACGCAGTTTCGGTACTACTTGACGGATGGCGCCAGTGGGCAAGTGTGTTCTATTGTCGTAAGAGATCACAGGCGGTCGCAGCGCACTAGGTCAGACTCAAACGCAAGTTCGTAAGACAGCCTTAAGCCGACAGATCGAAAAGTCATCTGAAAAACTGAGTAGGAGATAGTTTACTTTTTATTTTATTTTTTTTAAACGGGTTCATTCAGTGATGTGCACGTGATTAGTCTCCTGGTACCATCACTAATTACATAACAAATTTGTTTCAGTGTACATGGTGTGGATGATTGATAGGCGTAATATTACAGATATAAACCCACAGTGCGAAACTGCCTACCACGGCCCTGTCAATGAGTATGGCTGCACTGTGGTGAAACCCAAATATTATGTATACGATGAGAAGATATGCAGTTAAAAAGCCTGTCTTTTATATCTGCTTTTATGTTGAAATATACGGGTTTGCAACAAACGTCACATTGTGCCTGTATCAATAAATTCCATGAAAGCTTTACAGTAATAAAATAGCGAGTGTGCAATTCCTTCATCACGTCACTTACAAAAAAAAAAAAAGGCAAAACATTTTTGAGTTCTTTTTTTGCCTTGGAATATTTTTAGGGAGTGACCTCTTGTTGTTTTTTTTTTTTTCATATAAAATTCACTAGATTAAAAACTTAGGGTGTTTGCTCTTTGATAAAGTTCAACTGTGGTGTACAAATATATAAAATCTGGAATAAATACCATCACAAAAAAGCTGTCGTGTCCGTCTTGAATCAGCTTTAACTAAAACATGCGAAATACCACTATCCAGCTCTTTTAACTTATTTTTATTGGGATGCAACCAGTTGATTTGAATACTTTCTCTCTATACCAATTTTTAATAAAAATATCACAATGGCGGTGCTTACATGACAGTTTCTATGGGTCGACAATCGGCGAATGTGTTTGGCTTTTTAAGAATAATTATGTTCTTTTATTTTATGAATACTCTTTACAATAGCGATATTCGTTTTGTCTGACGACTCTATAGTGTGTCCCATGAAAGAGTATAAACGGACGATGAGAGGAAACATGAAAAGAAAAACACTACAAGACTGCATGCTTCAGACGAGAAACGGCAGGACGCGTACGCTTTATTTAAGCGATGTATTCCTTTTTCAAATGAGAATATCGCATGGCAAGAAACGTTTGTAACTTCTTTGGAAGCAGGCGAATAATGAAATGATATAAAAAGATTTATTTTGAGCGTGTCCGCTTAGCCTGACGGTACTTACCATAAAGGTTGTCGCACTGCCGTTGTTTCTTGGATGGCTGTGCAGATGCCATAGTTTCTTATTAAAGGTTGGATATTATAAAATTGGGAATTCGCTGCTACTCCTTCTCTTAACAATCCTTAAGTAGCTTTCATCCGACCGCCTCGTTACAACTGGAAACACGATTAGAACCCCAGCAGCCTTTATGATTTTCTTCTTCTGTTTTGAAACTTCCGAAACTAAGCGGCGAATCGAGGTGAGGTTTCTGATGGGAATGGCGTATCGTGTCTGGTCGCATGTGTGTAACCCATATGGGCTCTGGGTGGATATTCGGGTCCAGGACGGGGTGCTGGTGGAAATTCCATCATTAGCGTCGTTGGCGCTGCAACTGGGCAGCACGAAGGTATCGGGCCCCCCTCCCCCCCCCCCCCCCCCCCCACACACACACACACACACCAAATTTAAAAAAACACTTTCTGCGTTAACAGGACACCGTGTCATAAAGAATTTTTGTGTTGTGTGCTCCTTGTGACACCGGGAGCACCACAAGTTACAATTTCTTTAGATGTGGAGGCGTCATTGCAGCGCTGCACTAAGGTGATGCTTCTGGTAAAACTCCCTTTAGGGCTCGGTGGGCTTGACCACTGCCAACGTTACTAGAACACTCAGTTGGGAAGCTCGCCGTCGAAACTTGAGCCGCTGGCGTCCACCGAGACCGAGCTAAATGCGACAACAGCGCCACTCTTTGTCATTTGTCTGTACTGTGGTCACCTTGAGCTTTTAGAAAGCATGTTTTTGCGTAAAAACAAACGGAAAAGACTCTTTTTGTATGAAATTTATTGGAGTTTAGTACAAAATGATAGGCGCGTGATGTTTTTCAAATCTTTAGGTTGCAGGGTTTTGCGGAACAATTAATATTGTCTTTATACAACCATGCCTTTGCGGTGCTTTCAGGTAGCACGTCCCGACCTAGGTGCATTTTGACTTCGGTATATAGTAAGTCGCGGCGCGTCCGCTGGGGAGGCGGGGTGGCACCCCTGTAACCACTTCCGCTGTATCTGTTTCGGCTCCAAAATGGCCGATTAAAGCCAAAATAGAAGTAACGTACAGTTCCTCGAGTGGCCGCTGCGGGAGAAATGGCGGCGTTGTGTTCGTCATTAGCTCGGTTCTCGAGGACAGATCAGGGCCACTTTTTCCGATAAGTCTCTATGGCAGTATCCCAACCGAGTGTTTTAGTGACGCTGACCAATGCCAAGTAAGGAAGGACGCGCTGACTTGTACACAGCCCAGAACTTTAAAGTGTACTTTTTAGAGCACCCCGAGTATGCGTCACACTGCTAAACAAACAACAAATAAAAAGGCCAGTTTATGGAGAAAAGACGAATGGAACATGTTCCGTCTTTCGGTTTTACGTCAAATGCACTGCTTTCGTCCACAAACGGGAACTGTACTGTAAAAACGCAAATTAGCTATTTAGGTAACGAGCGTTAATTTCCCCCACTGTTGGAGCTAACACCGTTACAAGTTACGACCTTACTGATAACGCGTTCGTTTTTTTTTTTTTTTTTGCTAGCTTACTAAGGTACTCGTTAGAATCCCAAATGACTAACGAGTAGAGTAATGTCGTTATTATTTTACGGTATCTCCTTTCAAATTACGTTACCCTTACTAGAATGGAAAGTTGGGCGAGTTGGTATGAATCCATTTTGAAAAACAGCACGAATAACACAAGGACTCTTGTCTGTGTTATTCGAGCTGTTTTTCAAAATGGTTACGTTACCCGTTACACTATCAGAAAAAAAAAAAAGGATATATTCTGACACCCCTTGACCCATATAGGACACCCCAAAACTTCAGTTCGACGTACACTGCTGACGTCGAACTGTTTCACGAGCGGCTTGATAGCCGAGTGGTTCAACTTATTATAATAGCTAATGTACGGGTTTTGACTACAAAAAAAAAAAAAAAAAAGTACTTGGGGTTTTTTTGGTCCTACTGCAAAGCCTCCAGTGTTTTTTTTTCTTTCCTTTCTGTAGTTTTTGGTGCGTACTTTATCTGTTTAATGAGGTATATATCACCGTTCTCAAGCCCCTCGTTAACGTAGGGGCCGTCTCTTTGACGTCAGTGCGCTGTCCGTCGAACTGAAATTTCGGGGTGTCGTATGACAAGGGGTGTGAGAATATCCCCTTTTATCTGAGAGTGTACTCCTTACATTTGATTAAAAATGGCCGCATGATTGTTTGAAAACAAAATATTGTTTATCCTTTACACTACGTATAAGCGGCAAAGATACCCAAATAAAACCATGTATAAGCGGCGTCACTTCAAACTCAATCTAGACGCTCTAAGCATCCCAACAAACCCGGAATCAGAATAGTGCGTAGCTTGTTTCCTCGTTAAAAGCGTGTTCAAAGATCGCGACATGCCCCTTCTGGGAAGAAATTTCTTTCGAGTGAAGTGGTCGACGAAAGGCGCTTGTCGGCGAGTTGCAAGCGATGGCTTCGCCCGCGGAGAAAAAGAGGAGTCTTACCCGAATGTGTACTTATCAAACTCTCTTCGAAACAAGTTATAATAAAACCATTCGGAATCTGCCTATGTTGTAGGGCTTTCGTTGGTGCACACAATGTAGTCCGCGAGAAAAAAGAATCCACATATTTTTCTATTGCTCTGAGATGAATAGGTGGTTTTGAATTATAGGACTTGGTATATGTGGGAACTAACGCATTTTAAACAATATAAGATCAAAAACGATCTTTTTCAAAAATGACTTCTGCCTCTTTAAGCATTTTGTTTAGTTGTGAATGCGAAAGCATGAATGATGTTGTCCCGCCCCCTTAGTGTACTGGACTGGACGGCCACGTTTCACTACTGCCGAGGTTGCGTCCACCGACGATATTGATGCCTCAGGCGCCCGGCGCCCCCATGTTCCTCGGCGCTAGAAGAGCAGAAGCGGCCGATGCAATTGAAAACGGCGTCTGGACATTACCCTTGCAGTTCAGTTGTTTTAGACGAACCTTTACTTAAAAGTTTAAACGTCAAAGTTATATTTAAAGCTGGTATGGCAACTGCAGATGCTGATGTGCAAGCACACGATGAAGCATGCGTGTACACGTGTGTCCCATTAAAATATGTTATTTATGTGATTTAACGCATGCTGCACATTTACTGGCTGTGATTGCGCTTTCCTATATACGAGTCCAGGCGCATATAGATGAATTGTAAAAATTGTGGGTGTCCAGGGTGGGCATAGCTTCGCAGAATATTGCGGATGATGGGGGAATTTCGCTATGTAATACTGCCATAGCTTTCCCAGACCCAGAGCGCGGTCGTGCATGTCTCAAGTTAAGTGAATGCTTATGCTGAAATTTGTACCGCGCATGCTAGCTAGAGGGAGAGCTCATCAGCGAGCATACCGTTGACTGATGTGCCAAGAGGCACGCTTAGACATGTTCTAATGGATTTGTTCATTTCTGCCTGGACACTCTTTATATTGGTTGCTAAGATAGAATGCGAAACAGGAATAGTATACCCAAGTAGACTATTGATTAAGGCACTTCGTTACTTGAGCATAGATGTGCATGACTTGCCCCACTTTCTCCCAGTTAGACAATAGAAAACATTGCAGGGAGAACCAAGCATTTTTTTTAGACGTTTAATATGTGTTGTCTACGTTAAATGTTTGTCAATACATACCTTAGAAATTTGATCGCAGGCACATATGGTATAAGAATCCCTGCAAGGATTAATTGAAAACGCTTGACTAACATTCGTATCGAAGCCATTGCGATTGTCTTTTCTTGTGATACACACATGCCATGGTTTCACAGACAATGACTTATTTCATCTGGTGCTCTCTAGAGTTCCCTCTGACTGAAGGTCTGTTCACACGATGCATCTTTTAGGCGCGCAACAGTTTCGCGACACTCAAGTTTCGCGAAATGTGCTCGTTCACACGTACCGCTTCACGTGCAACAACAACACACACCGATGCACCGTTTTGAGTGAGCTCCGAATCAGATCGCTATTTATCCGGGGACCTGCTTTGCGCATTTTATGCAGTCAATTCACTTTATTTTTTTTTTTCTCACATACTGCACTACTTAGAGCGATCTCGCGTGGGTACGTGCAGGACATGTGCCGGCGCCAAGCCCGTACGCAACCAATTCATTGCCAAAGCTCCTATCAATGCACATGGTATTCATAGAAACGCTACGTGCCCAATCTGGTTACTTCTCGGCGCCCATGTCTGCCCCGAGTTTACTGTACCAACTGTTTCAGAGAGCGCACA